CGACCGGAGGAGACGACTCAACAGGCGGCTTGACGGGAGGAGACGACTCGACTGGAGGAACGACTGGGGGAGAAGAGACAATAGGAGGGACGACCGGAGGCGAGGAGACCACTGGAGGGACAACCGGAGGGGAGGAGACTGCCGGAGGAGTCGACTCAACAGGAGAGTTGGAAGTGCTGGAGGCCGGGAGGGTAGGGGGGGTAGTGGCGGGCGGTGCCGGAGGGGTGAATGTGGTCTTCGGGGGGTTGCAATCGAACGAGATGGTCTCGATGTCGATGCTGCAGACCGGCTTGGGCTTGTTCGGCTGAGGGGGAAAGATGATGGTCACGTTCTTGGCACCACCGCACTGCTTGTTGATGACGTTGGAGCCAGACTTCTTGCAGAAGCTGCGGTGCTTGCAGGTCTTGCCATCAGGCATGTCGTAGACGAACTCGAGGTCGCAGTCAAACTCAGGCTTCACGAAGATGGAGCCGAGAGAAAACTTGTCGACCTTGGGGCCGCATCCGAAAGAGGGCGAGTTCTTCTTGTCCGAGGTGCAGACACCACCAATCGTCTTCCCGCTGCCACCATTGTTGAAGCGGCCATTGCCTCCCTTGTTGCCGCAGGTGAAACCCTTCCAGCCGAAGTCGTTGTATCCGGTGAAGGGACCCAAGTTGAGGTCGGCGAAGGAGAAGCCAGGCTTCTGCTTGTCCGTGCACTTGTTGTCCGTGTTCTCCGGGCAGTTGAAGGGAGGGAAGTTGCGGAAGCCCTGCGGGGTGTCAGTCAACATGCACCTTAGGGGCAAGTAACTGAAAGACTTACAGTTGCCGCGGCACTGGCTGCCAGGGCGAGAACGACGCCGGTCTTCATCTTGACACGGCCTATTTCTTTCGATACGGAGACTGAAAATATATGTGCAATAGAAACGACAGGAGTGTCTTGTTTTGGTAGTTGGTTTTAGTGTCGGCGAACCTGGCGCTGTGACGACTGTGGGTGGCTGCTGGAGAGTGTTGAGCAAAGCAACGAGAGTGTGTGAAACACAAAATGCGAGTTAACGAAGGCGAGAAGCAAAGAAGCGAATGGCTTTGCTTCGTGAAACAGACGTATCAAGAGTATCGAAAGAAAAGAAAGAGTGCCGAGAAAGGAGATCCTGGAGAACAGAAGAGAGTCCAGCAGAGGAGAGGGCAGGATATCACCGCTCATATACAAGTTGCAACCTCGACTGGAGGTTGCATTGGCTCCCCATCGTCCACTCACGTCGCTCGACACGGTAAGGCGATGGCCAGATGAGACGACCGTTCCCCACAGCGAGGTGCCCAGAGCCGTCCGCGCTCTCGCCGCCGGGGTTGCAACGATGCAACAAGCTTCCTTGTCGTCTCCTGGAGCCCTGGTGGTGTGGTATGGCGCGCGGCTCTCTTGGGCCAAGCCCCTTGAGCGGCAGAGCAGGGATGTGGTTCTCTGCCAGAGAAACGGCCCCTGCCACTGGCCACGACGCCCAGAGATCGCAGCAAGGGGGGGCAGCCAGTCGTCTTCCACCGTGCCCCGCCAGCCAATCGGTTATCCGCCTGGCGACAAAAACAGCACCATCGCCGGAAAAATAGCAAGCGACAGATGACAGCAGTGCTGCGGTGCGGCGCAAATGCAGCTGGCTAAAGAAAAGCAACTGACTGCGGCCGATGATTGCAGTCAATCTGTCAAGGTTCTATTCCAGTGCGAAAGGATCAGAAAGCAATCAACGGCGGCCAGCAAAAGGTCCGCATGCAAGACCTCGACGCATGCCAAGAAGATCGGATGGCGGGGCTCAAAACCGGGTGCGGAGACCCGAGAATCTGTGGTCGCCCTCTCACCTGAAACGTGGGAGACTGCACAGCCACGAGTTGCGAGCTACTGCAGGAACGAAACACTGTGATCCAATCGATTCCCTCTCAGCTCGACCACTCAAGCAATTGCCAGATTCTGTTGGACGCGAGCAGTCGTTGACGACAAGCTCATTTTCTCCGACTACCAGCGTTGGCTCATGGTTTGCTAGTAGGCGATGGACCACGCCGTCTTTTTGCGAGGAATCCACACAGTGCCCATTAGGTCAAGGATTTTGCAAGGGCAGGCGCGTCGGGCTTTCCTCCGATAACACCGTTACTCCCAGTATGTCGCTATCGCAGTCAAGTTCAAAGGTCAAAGTGTCGGCTTCAGTTCAGGTTCAATCTCCTAAATGCACCAGTCACCCATCGTGACAACTAGCGAACGCAAGGCCAGTGCGTATAACCCCCCAAAAAGGCGATAGAGGGTGCCATGAGACCATCGCACGGGCTTCGTAGGTCTGAGGCTCGCTGCCAGTGTAGCTGAGTCTGCGACCTTGGCGTCTTCCGCTGTGTGCGGTTCTGCGCTTGTAGCGGATGCCAGAAGCTGCTCGATTCATCGGGCGAACCGCACACCTCTGAATGTCTCAATCGGGCGTCTCAGGTCGACGACTTAGCCCGAACCGTCCACCGTCGACAAGAAGAGCCGCGCGATTGCGGGCAACCAGACCCGCCCAGGGGATCCTTTGGCCGCTGTTTTTAGCATCCACCCGCCGAAGAGAGAACGTGACAGCTGATCTACCAGGTTATTAGCTGCCGCTCAGTTTGCCGTGGCGCCTGTCTACGCCTCAGCGCGAGATTGAGTGGCCTCCAGGTCGGCCGTCGGCGGAGTTCGCTGCCCGACATGCAGAGGACGGGAATGCGTGCAGTGATGCTGCCAGGCTCTATTCCAGGTCTCTCACTGCCCGGTTCTGGGGCGATGGGTCGAGGTTCCCAGATCTCAGTGGGCCGCTTGGCGATTCGCGGGTGATCAGCCGCCCCTGAATGAGAACCTGGTTCGCTCGGGGAGCCCAAATGCGAGGCATTCAGGTACTGGGTTCCCAGCGCCACAACTCTGCCGAAACCTCGTGGCGCTCTCGTCGACGCTCTGAACCCGTACTCAGAACCGACGCTCCAGCTTTTCACTCGCGCTCCGCTATCACGACAGAAAAGTAATTAGTTCGGTTCAGCCTTCCTGCTTTCTAACAGAACCGCCGTCCCCACGCCGAGCTTCCATCCGCAAGAACCCCAAGGTACCATTCCGCGCACTCTGCGACTTTGAACTATCAATCCGCGGTGGAAGTAGTGCCCCTGGCTGGAGGTGGAGATGCCAAGATGGAGCCATGGCTGGGTTGGGGTCAAAGAGCAACCGCCCGCCCCATGTTCGGCGGTTTACGCAGGGGTTGTCTTCAGGTGGTGGGTTGTTTCGGATTGTCACTTCTGTTTCCTATCACATTCGTATTCAACTTTGCTACGACGCTTCAGGACTGGGGAGACATCGCGCGGGCTTAGGCCTCGACATGGCCAGATGATGTTGCCGAAGGCCGAAATCCACGGCATGGAGCCGTCAATTACACCACGCTACACTATTGCCTCTCTGCGAGATGCTTCATCTCATTCTTCGGCAAGGCCGCTGTGCAATCGACCAGTCACAGAAAGATGGGGTGTTCCTGTTTCGAGATCTGCCCTCGTCCCTTGACGATCAGGATCGCTTTGGAAGATCAACGATATGAATAGCCTTCCCCGCACTGCATAAACCAGATAGGTTTGGGATGAAGCTTTTTACCACCCTCTGTGTCTATGCTTCATGCAAAACATCTTGCTTGCACTGAGCCACTTGCTTACGTGTCGAAGAGTTTGTCAACCGAAACAAACCTCCAGACGCCACACCGTTTTAGATATCACCTACAAGAAAGACTCGTGAATCCTCAAAACCCAATCGTAGCGCGAAAACCGACTTGTCATCGTACGCTCAAGGTTCCCGTGTCTCACAGACACACCACCCATCTCTAGCTTTCACAAAAAACGGGCTTCGCTGAGGCTCAGTCCCTCCCTGGGTCTGGCCGGCCCCCCGGTCCGTCCACAGACGTGTCTCGATTCTTACCTTGGTAAATGCCGTCAAGTCTTTCCATCTGCTAGATTATCCCTCAACGTGAGACGAGAGCGCTCGTATTCTCCGCCCATTCATGATTCTTTCCACCACCCGCCACCCAAACCCGCCCCCCGCCTGGCAAAAAAGTAAGGGGAATAGGCTGTGCGCGTAGCGAGTAAATCACCACCCTAGGATCGGTTGGCCTCCGCTGGCGTTGCAAGATGCGGGCGCATCCGGAGTGGAGGCGAGCCCGTTACCCAGAGAGAAAAGCTGTTCCTGGGACTTGTCCGAGCACATACGACCATAGGCACTGAAAAGTTCGGGATCCCGTCCGCTCTCCCCCAGACAAACTAGTGACCGCCGTACTAGTAGTTGAATCGGTGACGACCAGCGAATCCCCGGGGTTGTATGGCTCCCTTTGTTTTTGTCTCCGTAGCAGTGTGAACTCTGTCATCAGACCAAAGTAGAACCTTGCTTCGCTCCCATCCCAGAACGACTGCTGCCCCCTTTTGTTAGTGGAGGCGATCCGAGCAGAAATGTAACCTCGTTTCCCGACCGCAACGCCGGTAGTTGCCCGTTGTGGCAATAAGGGCCAGGTAAGGGGAGCGCAAGGTAGCAAGCCGGCCTGGGGGCCCGTCACAAGTTTCCAAGCGATACGGGGAAAAGAAGCAATGACCAAGTCGTAAGCCGTGAAACGACTGGGTTTTCTTGCCTTGCTACGCAGCTGTTCCGTGGAACTGGGACCGGAGGATGGTGACTGTTGCAGCGAGGTGCTGGGATGACACGGAGATGATGTTTATGGGTTGTCGCTCACCGGTAGCGGTGGAGAGAACCTTGAGAGGCAGGCCTCCCAGCGGACGGGGGTTCAACGTTGCAATGTTGCCACCGAGTATGTTGCAGGCCCTCCATTGCGGCTGGACCATTCATGGAGGACTTTGTGAAGAGCAATTCTACTGAGGAGCGCGGAGATTGGTGAACTTTCGCTCACGAGAGCCTGGTCGTTGGACGTTGTTGGTTCTGGTGCTGATGTTTCAGAGGTCGGCTATCGATAACGTGCACCTCCGACTACATTTTTAACAAACCACCAATCAAGTGGCTCTGTGGTCTAGTGGTATGATTCGCGCTTCGGGTAACCCCCTCACTTTGAACAAGTGCTTGTGCGAGGTCTCGGGTTCGATCCCCGACAGAGCCCCTTTTTTTTGCCCAAAATTTTAGCCCTTCAAAACCTGCGCATTGTAAGTGAATGTTGTCTGTGCTGACTGAGGTTGTGTCGTGGGCAAATGTCGAGAGTGATCCATCACATGGGAATTGCCTTGAGTTGCTTCGTCTTAGGTCTCGAAATGGGTATCATTGGTCTACGGGAAACAACGGGCTACGCGCCTCTGAGCTCAGGATCCGACCCGCTCAAGGACTCCTATCCTGCCTATCCTCCAGGTCATCCACGTCCATATTATCCGAACTGTCTGCCTTTATCGGAGTCATGGACCTCACCGACCCGCTATCGTCGGCATACCTATCCCTATTCTCCTCCTCTTTAATCCTCTCGTCCTCTTCCTCCAGCAAATCCTCAATGTTGCCCAGCGGGCTAACCCTTGGCTCCAGCAGCTCCAAGTCCTCCAAGATATCCCGCTTCCTCATCTTCCACAAACTCGTCGCGCACACACGATCCTTCGTCAACAAATCGTCGATAAAAACATCCACATACGTCAGACTCGTCCCGTTCCTCCCTTTCCTTCTCAACTTCCTCCCGTCCTCCAACAACGGCTCCAACCGCGTGTACACCTCCTTATCCGGTCTCGTCAACCGTATATAAAACACCGCCAGCGCCCTCAGGTACTTGAACTTCTCCCCTCCAAACTTGAGGTACTCCTCCAATATCGCATCGCTCGGCGCAAGCTGCAGCAGCTTGAACGCCAGACAGAGAAACGGCGTTGGTTTCTGCACGACACCGTACACACCGCCGATGAAGTCGACGTGCTCAACTACACGGTCGACAATGTCGGCTTCGTTGACGGCGAAGCACTGCTCTTTGTAGAAGTAGCTGTCGACGATGCGCTCCCTGACGGCTTTTTCCATGATGGTTGCTGGGTTGAGGCCGTTGGGCGCGAGGGGGCCGGCGCTGCCGCGCTCGTCGAGGAAGCGCCGCTCATCGGCGCGATGGGTTTCCGTTTTGGTCATGGTGGATGTTGCATGTATCTGCGGTTGGATTGGTACCGTGGGCGAACGTTGAAGTCGCGATCGCGATCGTGAATGCGATTTGGGTGTGCGGGACGGCCCCACCTGTTTTGGAGCTTGCGGCAGTCCCGAACTTTTTAGTGGCGTCGATCAGCGCGATAAGCGATTGTTGCCCCTCCAACGCGCCGACCTTCTATTGACGTATGCGAAGCCTGGAAGCGCCCCTGCTGATGGGCAAATCGAGGCAGGAGGGGAAGTCGGCGGTGGATTTGGATCATGGATCTGACATCTCCATCTTTCCATGTTATTCTTGCTGTGTAATGGTTTTGCGCACTTGTGACCTTTTGTGAGACTCTATCTTTGCGCCTCAAGTTGCAGGCGCTCTTTGCAAGTTTCGAGATTGGCTGCACACACGGAAGCAATGCTCCTCACTTCCAGCCAAGTGTCGGTAGCCGTGTCTTCGGGAATCGGTATGCACTCTTCAGCGCCACCCGTCACCACACCCATTTCCATCGGACTCTATCTAACATCGTGACTGCAAGTGCTTGTGTTTACGGCAGCGCTTTTTTTTAGCGGCTATGCCATCCAGCAACGGACGCTTCGCGATCTACGGCAGGCCATAAAGCCGAAGCCGCGCCCCTCACCAAAGATATTCCTTCCTGATCGCTTCAAGAAATCAACGACGGAACTTCCAGACGGCACCATTATCGAGGTGGAAGATGATTATGATCGAAGGAAGAAGCCTGGGGCTGTTGTGGTGGAGGTCAAGCCGACGCTCCCAGGGGATGTTCAAGCTGCAATTTCACCACCAGACGAGCAGCAGCAGCAAGTCTTAGATACTGCCAACGACGCACCAACACAGACGGAGAAGCAGGACAAGCCAAAGAAGAAGAAGAAAAAGAAAAAAGGCAAGCCAGCGAAGGAAGAAGCAGACTCTGAGCAGCCACAGAAACCAATCAGCAGAGCTGAGAGACGAAGAAGAATCAAGGAGGAGCTCCGAAAAATGGCACAGGGAGAAGAAAAGGGGTACTACCAGAGACGGCTCTGGTAGCCGTGACTGTTTGACAGAACTCGAGTGGCGTTACAATACCGCATGACGGGCTGGATATTTTAGGCACGACTCGGATGTTGGGGGTATGACAACCTGTGCACGCGGATGGGAATCGTGACTTTTGGGGAAACATGAGGAAACCTATAGGCGTCTTTGGAATTACTATACCGCAAAGCATGTACGATCTTTTGGCATCTAAAGGGCAACGCGACGATATACGGCATGAAGCACTGTGGAGGAGGCCGGACGCAATGAAACATATTCTAATCTGGCTGCTTACTACAATCACCACCGCCCCCACCGCTGATTGCCAGCACGTTTCAAACCACAAAGTCTGTGTTCTCTTCAATCACGAAGAAGCGCATGATATGACCGAACTTCTCCCGTCTTCCACGAACCAGCCGCTTCTGATGCAGACAGGGGCAACAGCGCATGCACATTCTTCTAGCCAACGGCACGTACCGTCCATCATAGGGGGATGAGCTGACCCGGGAAAATGGGGGAAATGCGTGAGGTTTCAACAGGTATCTTTTACTTTATCATCCGATGGTGTCAGATGTTTGTCCACGCAACAACACACTTCGCTCCCGCCATTCCCTTCAATCGGTAAGCAGTATAATTGTTAACTGAACATTAACTCTGTAGCTGAATAGTTCTCGGCAACAACAGACATCGTGGACAAGCTATCTTAACACCATCAGGCAGACACCAATGTCCCTCATCCTACCTTATGCTTTCCAACGTGACAATGGGTCATGCCGTTTAGATATAGAGTAATCCTCCCAAAATACCCAACAAGTACAAGTCCCATTCAACCTCCCAGTCCAACCACAGCAGTTAATCCCATTCCAAGCGTTTTGATCCCTGCCGTGTATCATTTTCCTCGTCGGACTCGTCTACCCAAGCCCGAGGCAGGCAATCGCCAATCTTCAAAACACCTATACACTGCCCCCAGATCCATAAGAAAATGCATCATGCGTGCCATCTCAATCTATCGTAACCCCAGCCCCCCCCGCCAGTATCCCTTCAATTCCAAACACCAATCGGCAAATAGGCTTTGATCTTCACTTCTGCGGATACCCTATCCACCTCGTCGAACCACTCGTCGTGCCCCCGCTGCTCCTCCAACTATCATTTCGCTTTGGTGCCATGGGCCTGTTTGGTTCGTTGACCATCCATAGATCGTCTTCGGAGAGGAGACCGTGGCTCAGTGAGGCGCCGCTTTTGAGGGCCTGGAGAGGGTTAGACTTGTGGTGGGTAACTTGGTGGATGAATGGTTGGTGTTAAGTGAAGCTTACAACACAGAGCTTACACCTTTCCCCAAACTTGGAGACGGTGTTGCGGCATCCAATCGAGCCGTAGTAATTTGAGCAGTAGCAGCCGTTCATTTTTGACTGTTGTGTGTGATTTCTTGGGGACGTTTACGTAGGGACTGGTGGGATCGGTAGGGCGCTGGATGAGGGAGACCTCGACGGGAGAAAGCTTCGACCTCAACCGTAACCCGAAGAGAGGTGCGGCACGATGATGCAACTGGATAAGGTAGGTATTGGTAGGCAAAGCGGGCTAAGTTGGGCCTAAAGCAAGAGGCGAGGCAAACACCGGCAGAAACAATAAGACTCGACGTGAACACAAAGCGGAAGAAGAGAGTTAAAGGGAACGAAAACCAGACGGGAGGACAGTCCCAGATTAATAGAGACTCGCAGTCATGCGAGGGTCAACACACTGTGAGGGCATACTGTAGCTAAGCTTGCTAGGAAGACGTGTAAGCTGGCCGATCCATGGATGCGTCTGGGAGGCGACCCGACATGACGGGGATCTTCGACCAACCCTTGCCTGTCAAGTCCCAGAGCCGCGAACCGCAAATGATACAGCCAAAGGTGGGGGGTATATCAGATAGCCACGATAGGCCAGGAAAACGGGAAGGCTCAAGGTGAGAGGGGACGTAGTTTTTCCCCGTCGAAGCTCACGCTACCCCTGGCCCTGCAGTTCTGATACGTAAGACCCAAACCTTGCCAACTTGCCTTATTCGTCCGCTGCGGCCGTTGCAAGGGGTGCCGAGGTGAACAGATGATAAAGGCCGAGAGGATACGAGTCCCAAGACGAATAAGGTTGGCGTTGTAGGTCCGGGTATTTCCAATCGTGATTTCGGATCGTAGCTCTGCTTGCTTGCAACAGCTCGGCAGACGATGACGACGTCTTGAATGCCTGGGCCATTTCCAACTCTGTTCAGGCGCTGTTTTGACTGTCTTGAGCCGAGACGGCCAATTTCGGTACGTCTTTGCTTCTCATTGCTGGGGATTTTCAGTCATGCCACCGGTTCTCGCCGAGGTGCCAGTCACCCCTCTTCTGAGCCCTACCTCGAGAAAGGATGCGCGGTTCGTCCAAACGTCCAGCCAGCAGGTGCCAAGGCAGAGCAGGTGCAATCAACAACGGCGGAGTGGTGGTGTGGGCAAGCATCTCTGTGGTGTCTTGATGCATGGAATGCATTCTCAGACCTGGGGAAATCCAGGAAGGCGAATGCCTTGCAACCCCTCCATCGACATTATGCAGCACGATGAAGCAACCGTCTAGTGGACGGTTTCGGTTGGTTGCAGGCGCCTCACAGGCGGGGTGAGCGGGGCTCCAGCGATCTGCCGTTGCAGCGCCTAGGCCTTGACCGGTGAACGCAAGCGCAACCCTGGCGTCGCCTTGCGTCCGGGCCCGGCTCGACGAACCGGAGTTGTCCTTGGACCTACTCTACAAACCCCCATCATTATTGAATAAGCGTTGTAATTGCTGAACGGCTTCACCGGTCCATGAATGTCCATTCGCGAAGGTTCCTCGACTCCCATCCGGTTTGCGGCTCACATCCGATGATACTGCATCGCCGTCATAAAAGAAGCGGAAAGCTGGGAACCAGAAACCGCCAGAATGTGGGTATAGGACGCAACACTCGACCCCACCGCCGGAACCCGCATACGCCCGCA